CCTGGCCTACACCTCCTCCCCAGGGCTAAGGCACCCCGAGCTCGGGGTCCCCTGACCTTTCCTAATACCCGAGCTCCTCCTAGTGGATCTCGGGCCACTCCCTGACAGGAACACACTGATCCACCTATAGATACCCCGAGGTGAAGACACATCGGGACAGACAGCTCGGCTTAGCTTGCCACAGGCAGCTCGCCGCTTACGAGAAAGCCCAGCATAGGGTAACTCGCGGAAGGGTAGTTCGGCATATCGCAGGAAGATCTCCTGCCCGCCACCGTACCCGACAAATCTGGGGATAGCAATCATATCCCTCGTCAGACAGCGTCATGCCTGCCACCTTTAAAGGGTGCCTTACACCTGACAGGCACGTACCCTGTGGTGATGGCCCCGCGCGTGCCACCTCAGCCCTGCTAGTAACGGCTGTAGCAGGCAAACGGTGGCGGTTATACCTGCCCTGTTAGAAGCCAGTGGGTCTGATGCAACGGATTTCTGTTATACGGAGCTTATTATCAAGGAACGGAGGTATCTTCTTCTACTCTCGCGCTATCTGCACTCTTAGCCTTCATCTTCTCCTTACTTCTCCAACAGAGTACTAACTTAAACATCGGAGTGTTCCCGCCGGGCAAGCCCCCGGAGATTCTTCTTCTTCTTCATCTCAGGTATCTTTTAGGAGACACGCGAGTGCCAGCTAGGAGTGACCAGATTGCGCTACATCACTGTTAATTACTAATATTGTTAATAAAATACAGTATTCATTGAAAATACTGCTAATTAATAATGTTATTAAAATACTATAATTATTAATGTTGTTTTTAATAAATACTGTATTTACTAAAATACTGCTAATTACTAAAATGTTGTTAATTATGAGAATACTGTAATTATTAAAATACCGTTAATTAATAAATACATTATTTTTAATAAATACTGTTAATTAATAACACTCTATTGAAATTATGGTTAACTAATAATATTAATTACTAAATAATGTAATTAATAATACAGTAATTGATTAAATTAATACTGTTAAATAATAATATTATAAAAATACTTTAATTATTAATACTGCTTTTTAATTATTAAAATTTTGTTAATTAATAAATACATTATTTTTAATAAATACTATTAATTATAATACTATATTTATTGAAATTGTTGTTAATTATTCAAATATTGTTAATTAATAATACTGTGTTGAAATTATGGTTAATTAATAATATTATTTACTAAATACTGTAAATCTGTAATTAATAATACAGTAATTGATTAAGTACTGTTAATTATTAAATATATTATTTTTAATAATGTTAATTAATAAATATAGTAATAATTAAAATACTGTAATTATTAATACGGTTTTGTAATAGATACTGTTAATTAATAAAATGCTGTAAATTAAAAATATCATTAAATACTGTTATTTATTTAAAAATACCGTAATCAACAATCCTATGAGCCTTCCCTGTGTTTTGACCTTAACAAAAACTCCCCTATTATTTTTGAAACAAAGGTGCAAATACCTTCCTTCCATTTGCGTTCCAAATAAAAATGTTGATGTAATGCATAAGTTTCTTAAAATACCAAATTTACCTATAACTAACATCATTTAGACATAAATTTACTAAAATATCTTGAAAAAAAAACAAAAGATTTGCTTCCTTTCACTTCAGTTCAGCCTTCTACCTTTGTCCAACA